ACAAGATATTGTTTGTAATTGATATTATCTCCTAAATAGTAATATTATTTGCATTGAAGTATGCAATTATTATGCAGACTCCTGTGTGGCACTGTAGGATCAGTGCTGGACTGAGAACCACAAGGTCGGTGGTTCAGGTCCACCAGCTGCTCCTCAGAAATCCTATGCAGGGTCACTCTGAGTTAGAACCAACTCGACAGCACTTAAAACAACTTGCAATTATAAAGGCAAAGCAAAACCTGAAGACTTCACAATTAGTAGTGTTTGATCCAGAGCAATGATCAAAATGCCATTTTAAGCTCTCTAAAACAATGGACATAAAAACATCAAACACAACTTAAAAACCAGAATATCATTTACTGTGGGTGGAGCAAGAAGAAATAAACAATATTTAAGTAGCTAGCTACCAAAGAAAAGTATTTCTTTACTGGGAAAGGGCCTGCATTTTATTTTCATTAGAAAAATAACACTTTAGATGTTGTTTATTGCCGTTGAGTCAGTTTTAACTCATAACAACCCTATATAGGATTTCCCAGGAGCAACTGGTGAATTTGAACCACCAACCTTGTGTTTCACATCAACCTTGGGGTTCAGTGTATCCCACACCACACAGGACTCCAACACTTTAGATACTACTGCATTTTCTTCTGTAAGTAATACTAATACAATAGCAACATTTTTTAAAATATCAAATACTGTAATTTCTAATTAGCAATTTTCCTTTATATTCCTGATTCCTATAATAAATGAATTATGAATTTAATTTGGTAGATCTTATTTTTAACATTAATAATGCCTTCCTTCATATTGATTTCTTTTTCTAAGGCAGTGGTCCTCAAGCAGAAGAACACTTGGGGACCACTTTGAAAATATACATTCCCAAGACTCATTCATCAAGGACTGTTTCCTGTTTCAGCACATCTAGATTGAAGCCACCATAGCTGTGTTTAAGGAGCTCTGGTAGCGTAGTGGTTACGAACCGGGCTGCGAACCTTAAGGTCAGCGGTTCGAAACTACCAGCCGCTCCGCGGGAGAAAGATAAGGCTTTCTACTCCCGTAAAGATTTACACCCTCGGAAACCCTGTACAGGGTCGCTATGGGTCGGAACCGACTCGACGGCACTTCACAAAAACAACGACATATCTGTGTTTGGTAAAGATGTCCCTAGTGGTTCTGGTTGTTTACTAAGGAACTGTTTCAGAGAATGACGAGGAGAGGCCTTATTTGGTCTGCCATTACTGGAACTTGGTCACAATGAGGCCCAGAGCCATCAGTAGCAACAACAGAAAACTACACATTTCATTAGCTGTAAAGAAAATTCTGAGAAAACGGTCTATTCAGAAAACATGCAACCATGCTTGAAAACATTTTCCACGTATTTATTTTTAAAACGTACATTTAAGACCAACAATTTTAAAAAATGTATAAAAAATAATTTATGTATTATCCCAACTTTATTATTTACATCGTCCCTTTATAAAAAGTTTTCACTTTACTATCACCAAAAAATGTATTTCAATAGCTTCCAAAGTAGGAAGGGGCTTCAAAAAGTTTACATAAAAATGCATTATTTTTAATTCTAGTTTTTCAAAAACTTTTTAAAGCTGCCTCATCATCTCAGGAATTTTTATAAGATTTTCTAGTAGAAAAAAAAAAATAGTATTTACCTCCAGAAAAATAATGAAACTGGGAATGATTACCAATAGTGTTTTAAAATATAATGCGCCTTAGTTATGCTACATCACATGTAAGAAAAATCTTCAACACAGAACCATAATAATCTCAGATTGCAGCATTTTTGCTTAAGAAAAAAAAGCACAAAAATATTCTGCACAAGAAAACTTCTCATTGCATAAAGGTATAAAGCTGAATTTTGCAAAAAAAATTATCTGTGGTATGCTTTCATAATATCAAGTCATCATATGAACTTTGTAAACAGATATCTGTTAAAGGTTATTACCTTAAATATTTAAGCCCGTTATCACTAAAAGAAGGTTCAGTTTAAAAAAAAAAAAATCAGTACAAAAATACATTATCTACTAAAGTAGTTACCAACTCACTGAAGACAATTTTAATCTAAAAATCACAACTAGAATTCCATAATATAAAGTGATTTTATAAAGACCTTAAACTGATTCAAAATAAAAGTTCTACAACAGTTAGCAAGTTTTCTTTTCATTGCTATTCTCTAGTAAAAGCCTTCTTTTGATTAGCTTTTACAATGTCATCAGGAGATGCTGACTTGAAGTCAAATGGTGTTATTGCTATAAGAGGACTTTTCTCTTTGTCTTTTACATCTTGAACTTGCCTACTATAGAGGAAAGTCTTATAGAGATCAAGGGATCGTCGCTTGCAGTTTTTTGGTGGGTAATGAAGACACAATGTTGAAGCAAAAGCTGAAGGTCTAGCAGCAAGAGCCTTGGTCCAAGAGAGAGAGAAGGGTAGTTTTCTAGCCAGAGAACCTTGATTGTTATTCTTACTGCCCACAGCAGAATCAGAATTCTTCCCTAACTTTGAGCTTAAAACTTTAGTTCCTGGTGTTGGTGCAAGGGATTGGTCTACTATAGGTTTTGGAACAAAATCTGGGGTTTTTATAAGGACACTCAGATCAATATTTGAATCTATTCCAGAAGACCTCATTTCAGACAAATTTAAAGAATCTTTCTTAATCTGAGATTTGTTTATGTCAAGGGTTTCTGAAATCAAATCAGAAAGAGACAAATGATCATGGTCTCTTACAGGAGAAGTTTTACAAAATGTCAAAGATGATAGTGATCCTGTTAATTCTGATAGTCCAGGCACAGACTGATGCCCATTTGTTAGTTGTGACAAAGGAAAGGATCCCAAATTTAGATCTGTGGCACTGGCAGATGACTGGTTACAAAGGTCAAACAAGGTAAGGCATTGGGTTGGATTGTTTTCTTTGTGTTCTTGACATAGTTCAGCTAGGGATGGACTTTCACACTGGGAAAACAGCAAATGGTCAGTTTTTAAAATGGAGTTCTTAGAACTCAAAGGATCATTCTTAGCACATTGTTCAGCTAAAGAAACACTTGCAAATTCAGTCTTTTTACTAGCATTTAAGTGATCAAGAGTCATGTTTTTGACTGAGCTGTTTTGTATCGGAATGTTCTGGCAATCAGGTAGTGACTTACTGTGAACACATAAAGACTTATTATTAGGTGTGTTTTTTATCATTAATGACCTTAAGTCTGGTATTCCTTTGAATTCAGTATCATCTTTGGAAACACATTCAGATGCATGAGGTCTTAACAAACCATCATCTCTACTCTTTGACAGGAGACTTTCCAGACTGTCTGTGGATGATCTGACTGATGGTTGACTTTTACAAGATTTATAAAGTGAATCTCTTGACATGTCATTAATTAGGTTAGCTAGAGATAGCTCTTCTGTTAACTTACATGATACTAGTTTCTTTTCACTTTTAGGCTTGCTAATTTTCTGTTTCTTATGGAGTAAACAGTGATTTGATGCAATCGAAGAGTTATGATATGACCCACATTTTGCTACTGGGCCAGAGAAATCAATGGGAGTACTACTACAGTCCAAATGGTTTGTGGATAAAGGACAATAGTTTTGAACATCATCAGCTAAAACTTCAGAGGAAGAAAATAAGACTCCTTACCTTACAAGAGCCATTAATTTTCAGATGAATAGATTCACATATTCAGAAGAAAGTCACAGCAACCAAAAGGAAATATGAAATGAGGCATTTAATTACCAAGTGGTTCTTTTGACATGAATACAGTTACATATGATCATTATTTAATATATATAAACACTTAAAAACAGAAAACTTGTTACTTTCTTTTAACAATCTAAAGTCACTGTAGTATTTTATTCACTGATACATCAAAATGTAAGTACTAAGTTAGTTGAAGATCCAATTTTCATAAAGCTCACAATGGGAGGTTCTCACATGCTTACAGTAAGGGTTGTTTCACATTCAAAATTTCTAAGAAATCAATCAAAAGAACTGGGATCATCTTCTTCTATATTTTTAATGCATTAAAAACGAACAAGCAAAGTAAAACATCCTGTCTATAATCTAGGATACACTATTAATACAAATTCATTCCTATATTGGATTAGTCAATAATACACAAAAACAACCCCAACCCCCCAGCCACCTCCGAAAAAAACATTTTTATTTCACGGTAACAGATTACATGCAATCTTGTGGCAAAAATCTCACCTATGGATTATAATAAATATCGTCCCAATTCACAATCAACTGTCTTTAACAGACCAACATGCCCCTAATAACAGACGTCACACCAATAAAAAGGTAATTAAATTCCTTTGTATCTACTAAATCCCAAATTTAATCCCAAATTCTACAAATCTGAAACTAAACATCTGCATAAAAAAGGGTGTCTAAATAAAATTACATTGTATTTACACATGATGTAAGTATAAAAAGGGTCCCTGGTAGTGCACTGGTTAAAACACTTGGTTGTTAACAAAAAGGTCAGCAGTTTGAACCCACCAGCCACTCTATGGGAGAAAGATGTTGCTGTCTACTTCTTTATGGGGCAGTCTGTCCTATTCAGCGAGGGGACTGGATTATTTTATTCATTCATTTATTTGGTTTCTGTTCTGTTTAAAGGACCCTATGACACAAACCATCAAGTGCATGGTTGCCAACTGAAATGTTGGCAGTTTAAACCCACCAAGCAGCTCTGCGAGAAAGACCTGGCAATATGTTCCCATAAAAGTTACAACCCAGCAACTACAGAGCGGCTCTACTATCACATGTGGTAACTGTGAGTCAGAAGTGACTTGACAGCACCCAAGAAAAAAGTGAAATAACCTAAAAATAGACTATAACAGAAAAGAATACAACTCTTATTTTAAAAACTCACAAACTAGAAAAACTGATAATAAGAGTTAATTCTAATATATAAAATTTTCTGCTCGTTTATCTTAATAATTAAGCGTTAGCTATGTAAAATATCTAAGAATAAGTAAAGGCATACCTTTTGCTATCTTTCCTGCAGAAATTGCTCCCTCACTCTTGACCTTCAAATTCTGTATTCTATCTTGTTCGAGAATCATGGCCAAAGCCTTCTGTACATCAAACTTGCTTTTGAGAACTGCTTCAATCAATAGTTCATCTGGTACAGCATCTCCAAGTACTTCTCTCATGTATTCAAGGCATGAGTAAAGACGAGCTAAAACAGACAATAAAAATTAAAAGCTATACTAAATGGTGCCATGTTACCTAGTTAGTTACATGTTGAACAAACAATCTGTGGCAATACTTTTATCGGCAATAATCACCTTTGTTATTGTTAGCTACCATCAAGTCAGTTACCAACTCACAATATAACAAAATACTGTCTGGTCTATTAACAACCCTAGGATTAGTTGTGGATTAAACTGCTGTAATTCATACAGTTTTCATTTACTAATTTGTGGGACTAGATTGCGAGGTATATCTTTCTAGTCTGCCATGAAAGTCTCCAATGATATACAAGTGGTGTCTGTGCAGCAGTCAGGAACTGAACTCATGTCCTCCATGTGGAAAGCGAGAATTCTACCAGTGAATCATCACTGCCACTGCAAAATCATCCTTAGGCATTTGAAAAGAACGGGACAAATAGTAATATAAAATTGTTATAAGAACATGGAAGTCCAGTAAATCAGGAAGAGAACATACACCTATTTAAAAATAAATAAATGAACAAAAGCCTAAGTTTTAATTTTGTTAATATTACTTCTTTTCTAGGTTCTGGTAGCATAGGTTCTAGCTCTGGTAGTGTAGTGGTTACGAATCGGACTGTGAACCGCAAGTTCAGCAGTTTGAAACTACCAGCTGTTCCGCGGGAGAAAGATGAGGCTTTCTGCTCCTGTAAAGATTTACAGCCTCGGAAACCCTGTACAGGGTCGCTATGAGTCGGAACTGACTCCACGGCACATATCAACAACAATATTACATCATTATAAAAGAGTACTCATTAATGATGCTCATTAATGAGGTAAATTCATGAGAGCAGAGAATTTGTATTTAGAACTTAGAAAAGAAATGGGCACCTAAAGAATAAATGAATACATTAATTTATATCTGCATGTTGTTGTTGTAGTTAATTAAGTATCATCAAATCAGTTCCAACTCATATATAGATAGTTTCCAAGGAGTGGCTGGTAGGTTTTAATCATCAAACTTGCAGTTAGCAGTCCAGTGCTTAGCCTACAGTGCCACATCAATAATCTTGCATTTGTACAGTATTTGTCAATTTTCAAAGTACAAGAGTAAGTAAGTCAAAAAGTATTGCTACACAGTGACGCCAGAAATGGAGGCAGAGACCGTGGACAGATGGAGCGGGTGGGGACACTGGACTCAGGGAGAGAGAGGGGTTATGTGCTGATGGCCAGGGGGCAGGCCTGTGGGGTGTACCCTTTGGTTGTTTGATGATGCATACAGTGGATTGTAATCATTGCAATGAAATGAAATACGATAGGATGAATGTAAAACTAATGTTCTCCCATATAAACCCACATAATTTACAATAAAAAAAGAAAAAAAACTACTGCTACAATGGTTCTGGAGCCCTAGTATGATGCTGTAGGATAAAGTACTGGGCCACAAAAGATCAGTTTGTACTAACAAGTTTAATAGTTCAAACTCACTAGCTGCTCCTCAGAAACCACATACAAAGTCGCTATGACTTGGAACAAACTTGATGGCACTTAGAAACTATGGTTCTACTTAATACATGTGTAGGTTGATTCCAAACAAAAAACTTTAAAAATGTCTCTGTGATCAGGAGCTCTGATAGCATATAGTAGGTTACGCATTGGGCTGCTAACCCCAAGATCAGCAGTTCAAATCTACCAGCTGCTCCATGGGACAAAGATGAATCTTTCTGCTCCCATAAAGATTTACAACATCCTCGGAAACCCTATACATAAGAGTTGTGGGATGACATCAAGAACATCATACAAAAGAAAGCAAAAATTCAATAAGACAACAAAGAAGGAAAAGACCAAAATGGATGACAGAAGAGACTCTGAAACTTGCTCTCCAGCGTAGAAATGCTACAGCATATGGAAGAAATAAGGAGGTAAAAGAGCTGAACAGAAAATTTCAAAGGTCAGCTCAAGAAGACAGTCAAATATTTTAATGAAATGTGCAAAGACCCGGAGTTAGAAAATCAAAGGGAAGAGCACACTCAGCACTTCTCAAGCCAAATGAACTAAATATAAAATTCAAGCCTTAACTTACAATATTAAATGATGCAAAAAGCATCTAAAGAAGCTGGGAAAAACAGTCACGGCACCAAAAAGAAATGGTCTATGTTCAACCATTTCAAGAGGTAACATATGACCAAACACCAATGGTACTGAAGGAAGAAGTCCAAGCTGTATCGTAGGCATTGGTGAAAACAAGGCTCCAGGAATTGATGAAATACAAATCGAAATCCGTCAACAAACTGATGCAGAACTGGAGGCATTCATTCAACTATGCCAAGGAATTTGGAAGCTACCTGGCCAACCAATTGGAAGAGATCCATGTTTGGGCCTATTCCAAAGATATGTGACCCAAAAGAAAGTGGAAATTGTCTAAAATATCCTTAATATCACATGCTGGGAAAATTTTGCTAAAGATAATTCAAAAATGGCTCCAACAGTACAGAGAACTTCAAGCCGGATTCAGAAGACAATGTAGAACTAGGGCTATCACTGCTGACATCAGATGGATCTTGCCTGAAAGAAGAGAATACTCGAACAATGTTTATTTGTGCTTTACTGACTATACAAAGGCTTTCAACTGTGTAGACCATGACAAACTACAGATAACATTGCAAAGAATGGATATTCCAGAACACTTAACTGTGCTCATGAGGAACCTGCACACAGACCAAGAAATAGATGTTCAAACAGAACAAGAGGATACTGAATGCTTTTGTGCATCAGGGTTGTATCTTTTCACCATACTTATTTAATCTGTATGCTGAGCAAATAATCAGAGAAGCTGGATTATATGAAGAAGAATATGGCATCAGGATTGGAGGAAGACTCATTAACAATCTTTAATACACAGATGATACACATTTGCTTGCTGAAAAGTGAGGAGGACTTAAAATACTTACTGATGAAAATCAGTACACAGTCATCAGTACGGGTTGCATTTCAATGTAAAGAAAACAAAAATTCTTACAACTGGATCAGTAAACATAACATTATAATTTAAGAAAAGATTGAAATTGTCAGAGGCAACTTGAATGTATTATCAATGCTCATAGAAACAACAGTCAAGAAATCAAACAATGCATCGCATTAACTGCACAAGGCCTCTGTCTAATGTTCAAAAGCAAAGACGTCAGTTTGAGGACTAAGGTGCGCCTGACCCAAGTCAGGTATTTTTAGTAGTCTCTTGTAAAAGCTAAACAATGAATAAGATAGGGAAGTATTTATGTATTTGAATTTTGGTGATAGTGAAGAATACTGAAAGTACCATGGACTGCCAGAACCAACAAACCTGTGTTGAGAGAAGTATAGCCAGAATGCTCCTTAATAAGATAGCATGGTAAGATTTCATCTTTCAAAGTTCAGAAATGTTATCAGGAAGAACCAGTACCCAGAGAAAAACATCATGCTTGGTAAAGTGGAGGGTTGGCAATAAAGAGGAAGACCCCCCCCAACAAGATGGAAAAACACAATGGAAGCAGCAATGGGCTCAAATATAACTGTGAGGGTGGCACAGGACCAGGCAGTGTTTCGTTCTGTTGTGCAAAGGGTCACATGAGTCAGAAATGACTCAACAGAAACTAACAACAACCAAGAGGCCATCTTGATAGATTTCCTCAAAGGACATAGGCCAATCACAGGGGCTTTTTAGGAAGGTTTAAGAAAACACAAATCTGCACTGGTGAGAAAAAAAGACTGGAAAGTTGCTCCGAGGAATTTTTTTTTTTTTTTT